TGTTTACAACTGTTTTGCTTGTAAACAGTGCTTGAAATGTGCATATTTCTCTCCTGATTCAGACAAAAATGACTTTCAGTGGAGAAAGCAATAGGCTATTATTATGGATAGAGGACTCATATTTCAGCCAGAAGAAATGGTTTGAAGTTAAAAACATCTTAATGATGGATTTTTTTCTTATAAGCAAGACATTACTTGATGGACTGGAGTCGTGTGGATTACTTGTGGATTATTGTAATGTTTCTATCAGCTGCTTGGACTCTAATTCTGACGGCACCCATTCACTGCAAGAGGATCCACTGGTGAGCAAGTAATGTAATGCTACATTTCTCCAAATCTGTTCTGATGAAGAAACAAACTCATCTACATCTTGGATGGCCTGAGGGTGAATTATTATTTTATTTGTTTATTTTTTTTTTAGCACATTTTCATTTTGGGGCAAATTATTCCTTTTACACGAATGTACTATATTCTGGCATGGTTGGATATACTTATAGTAGTTGTATAATTTGTTGATTTGTTTTTTAACAATTAAATAATTCCCATTATTAAAGAGATGTGTGTGGGTTGCGCTATTATATGATGAATGGTACTATTGCTTTCTCTGTATACTCAGCACTTATAATCCTAGAGATATGCTTTAGAAAAAAATCTAACTACCCAGCTGGCAGTTTCCCATAAGGACCGGCCACTCTCTGCTAGATAACCTGATTGCTTCTGTGTCCTGTGTGTTTTCAGATGGTTTAAGCTGAGTGCACAGGCGCTCGACAGCACGCGGTGGAGAGGAGGAGCAGGGCTGGCCAGCAGGCGTGTGAGCTACGACTACAGTAAGTCAGTGATGTGTGTCTGCTGTGCGGTATGCGGACAGGCATGTGGGCATTGACTCGCTGGTTGCTCCCCTCCATCTGATTAATAGCTGTGTGAGAAAGCAGCCACCCTTTCAGGCCCCTCAGACTTTCCAAAATAAACAGCTCCTGCTCTCTGGATTACTATCGATCCGAGCCGCCGCTGAAGACGTGCGTGCAAGGGCGAGATCTCTTTCCACCCTTTTTCGCTTTCCCTGTAATCTGTCCTTCTCTCAGTTTATCTCCAACCTTTCACTTCATCACTCAGACAATCATCTTGTCTTTCACCCTGCAATTATGATTCACCTGGAGTTGATGCCTTTGTCTCTTTTTGGAGGTAACACTTTTATTAATATGACGAACGTTGTGCTTAACTACTGTAAAAACATTTCAAATTCACTAAAAAGAAGTATGACGGCCAGTGGAGTGATAATATTATTAATGTCAGAGATCTACAATGCCCTTGGCATCTTCTTAGCAGATCGGTATGTTGTCTTCTGCTGAAGCCTGTTATTATAGTCTCCTGAGAGACACAGAAATGCAGCGCACAGAGAAGCCGGCATATTCCTTAGCTCCTTCCATATTCCTTGCATATTTTCCCCCAGCCAGTGTCTGAGGGGTCAGTTGACTGCCATCGTCTCATATAGCTGTGTTTTTGACTCTATGCATAAGGTCTGGTCCACTTATTCTGGCCAAGAACCGCTCACTTGAGAAGAAAATGAGAAATGGCTGTCTATATAGCAAACCAATAATAGCTTGTTTTGGTTTTATATGTTGTTTTAACCCGATCGCATGAAAGTGCATATAAATAGTACGCCAAATGAAAACGAAAACTCGTGGTATTGATACGCAAAAATGGCGTGTATATGCTACACGATGGGTAGGATTAGGGTTGTGGGGTAGATGTGTATCATATGTACGCAAAAACTGCGTATCATATGCACGCCAAAAAATTTCGTATCATATGCATGAGAAAAACTGCGTATTATATGCATGCCAAACACATGTGTATCATATGCACGCCAAAGTCCATTTTTGCGTATCAATACATTTGAAATGTCTCAGTGTGACTGGTACAATGGTCTCATTTCTACAGAAGTAAAAGGTCATAAAGATTTTAGAGATATTTTGCTTACTGTAATGGGTGTGCCCTCTCCCAGGGTCATTCATGCTAATTACCTTCTGTTCCCCTTTGAGGTGTAAACTACGCAAGTCTGGGACCTGGGTTAATGCAAATTCCAATTGTTTGTACATGCCTCCATTTGGGGGATGTTTTATCTTGGTTTTGTATTTAAAGGATTGCAGCAAAAGGGTCTGGGTGATTCTGTAGCCAGAAAGCCCATAGTGTGGCGTGTGTCTCTGCACTCCATACTATGTATTTGCCAAGGTCAGGTATGCACCTTTTTCTCTTAGATTCCTCTTTGAGAAATTGATGTTCTGTACTGATTTGATATATCTGAATTGGCTAATTGGCATAATACATATTTACCTGACTGATAATAAATTGTTACATTTTATTTATTCTGACTTACTCTGAAATTATTATCTCAAGTAGATTAAAGGGGTCTTATGATGTTGCTAAAAATAACATTATTTTGTGTATTTGGTGGAGTGAAATGTGTTTATGTGGTTTAAAGTAAAAAAACACATTATTTTCCACATACTGTACATTATTGTTTCTCCTCTATGGCCCATCTTTCTGAAACGCGACGATTTTTACAAAGGTCATCGGTCTGAAAAGCGAGGTGGGCTCTGATTGGCCAGCTATCCAGTGCGTTGTGATTGGCCGAATACCTCAAGTGTGTGACGGAAATGTTACACACCTTACCGTATTGTGATGCCCTGTAGCGACGATTCAAAAACATGAAAACCCATTTCAAACGAGGCATTTGTTACATCCAGTGGGGACTTAATTAGGATTATAATGATTTATACTGTCTTTTTACACGTTGCATTGCATCGTGCTGCGTAAACATAAAACTATGTCTGCATTTGTGTTCGGAGAAATGACAAACAAGCGCTACTCTTCACTGCTCAAAACTCGCATTTGAATCATCAGGGGCATATCCTTTAAATGAAAACGTACTTACAGTCTGTGAGTCAGAACAGCCGGCATTGTAGTCTACTCTTCCAGGATCAGGAAAGAGTCCTCCATAAAATGTGATGCACACAAATTAATATTTGGGTTGAACTGTTCTGGAACAGTGTTGTAAATACAACTTAACCACTGATTTCTAGTCGTGTCCTCTTTTGGAACCCAGGTGTTAAAAGCCACTCTGTTCTCACCTGTGAAGTTTCTTTTTCTTGTGTTACATCCTGATTCTGCCCTGACAAACCTAGGCTGTCTGTTTCTTGCTAATTCTTGACAACACATAAAAACGTAAAATTAGTGCAATAATGAAAGAGAACCCCATAAATGAAGATCGCTCCTATATCAGATCGTCAGTGCATGCATACTTGATTGAATTATATTATGCAGAATTGGCAGAGTTAAACATGCTGTAAACGCTGTAAAATCTCAGTTCAACATGATCTTTATTCTTATTTGAAGGGTTTTGATGACATACTTGTTAAAATAAAAGACGTTATAAAAGAGTTACGGAAAATACACAGAAAATAAGTGAACGTTTGTCCAAGCAGCTATTTTTCCCTTATAATTTCCATCAAAACTAGCTAATTGTTCAACAAGAGCAATAGGCAGAGTTACTCAACAGTGTGCAACACAATTCAGATACCACATGCCAACTTATGCTGCTTGACTTTTTCGTAAAAACGAGTGAAGAGTTTTTTGCCGCTTTGAACTCATCGCGAGCTCTATGAATGTTGGATACAGCGCGAGACCGCGGATGCGAGCTAGGGCGTGTCATGACGTGACAGAGTGACTGATTGCCATGGAAACGTGAACATCACGTATAGACTATATTCTCTTTTAATTTTAAATCATTCTGCATTTATATACATCGCTCCATTAAAACCTCAACATGTCGTGAACACAACTCTCCAATAAAAAAGTGTGGGGGACGAATTTACTTTTTATAAAAAGTGGGGGGGACATGTCCCCCGCGTCCCCCGCGTAATCTACGCCCCTGTCAGTTACATTAATTATGGGGGGGCTAATCATAGTACTGGTTATAACCGCTGGTTATTGTTTCAGCTTTAATTAAGTTGTACATAGTTATATTAACTATCGGGGGCTAGACAAATAGTACTAGCATAACCGCTGATTATTGTTTAAGTTTTATTCAAGTTGTACGTAGTTATTTTAATTATCGGGGGCTAGATAAAAATACTATTGAAATATTAACATATTTCATAGTACTAGCATAACCGCTGATTATTGTCTCAGCTTTAGTTACGATGTACGTAGTTATATAACTATCGGGGGCTAGACAAATAGTACTATCATAACCGCTGATTATTGTTTTTGAATATTGAAAAATTGAGCTCTAACTAAGTTGTACATTGTAACTGTAGAGGGCTAAATAGAACTACTATTTAAAGAATGGTAAGCATGGGCAACCTATTAAATAGTATTAGTCATAACCTCTGTCTAATGTTCAGACTGTCGAGTTTGTGATCATGGGGCCCACGTAAAATGGACGACGTGAGGCACTCTGAGCGACATAGATTCCTAATGAACAAGTAAATATAAAATAAAGACTTAAAGGGTTAGTTCACCCAAAAATGAAACTTAGCCCACAAATTACTCACCCTGAAGTCATCCTAGGTGTATATGACTTTCTTCTTTCAGACGAATCCAGTCAGAGCTATATTAAAAATGGTCTTTGATCTTTCAAGCTGTTAACTTTTAAAATACATGACCACTGCATACCATATATAGGCTGCACCTCCAAAACAATTTTTTTTTTAAAGAAATCCACACTTTTTACAGTTAACTGCAGCAGCCATAATCATAAATCAGGCTATTTCTTTGATTTATCACCCTGTAATTGATACTTAAACACATTCTACATGGCAGCATTACATTTATCAACATAACCGATTGTCCTCGAATCGCCCGATCCTGGCACATTATCGGTTATGCCACCTGCAGCCTCCGTGGAGCCTCTGGTGAGCAGGGCTTCCCCCTGAGCCACAGACAATGGCATCTTTTGAGTGCACGAGATGAGCACTAGGACCCAGAGAGCGCTGCATTTTCTTCCAGGGGTTGCCTAAGCCTCAGCGCACACCCCTGCTTGGGCAAACTGAGATAGGAAAAGAGAGAGGGTGAGACTGGAGGAACGCAGCTCTGTTGTTGTGGTCACTCCGAGAACCCTGCGCGGCGCAGAAATGGAGGGGCTGAAGTGCAGGAACTGACCCGCTGCCATCGGGAGGACAGGAATACATGTGGAAGGGCTTCTACAGAGTGGATCGGGATTAAAAGGTGACCCGATAGTTGATCTTTAGGGCGCGAGTGTGCGCTTTTGTGAGCGTGGTTGTTGTAGAGGCTTCAACAAAAGGAGGCTGGAGTGTGTTTGGGAGTGTAGGGACGGATTGTGGAAATGAGTCATCGCTGTGCACTAGGGGGATGTGTGTGTGTGTGTGTGTGTGTGTGCGCGCGCGTTTGGGGTGCTCTTGCTGTCTGGGAGGAAAGACAGCACTGTTTTTATGTGGAAAAGAGCGCAAGGCTGTTTGTTCAGTGCAAAATCGGGAGAGACGTGAGACAAAAGTTTGCAGTGGATTTGGAAGGAAACACCGCAGTTTTGTCATTAACTTCTCATCTGTTAGACATCTGAGGAAGCTCAGGAGCGTTGCTGTGGGGAAGACAGGTTTACCACAGACTGCTTGTGATCTCTGTGATAGCCTGGACAGATGGTGGTAGGCGTGTGTGTGTGTGTGTGTGTGTGTGTGTGTGTGTGTGTGTGTGTGTGTGTGTGTGGTATGTTGTGTCTGTCAGGCGGAAAACTAGTTAAGAGAAGCAGATCTGATGAGGACCACAGCAACAGCAGAAAGGCGCCTCGTCTGACTGGCTCTACAGCTGATTGTACACATGAAGGCGCTGCCACGTGTGTGTGTGTGTGTGTGTGTGTGTGTGTGTGTGTGTGTGTGTGTTTTAATCTGTGTGTGGAGTCTGTTTACACTTTTGGGATGCTGATTTGGATTCTTGGGTGACTGTATCACAGTGATATCAGCCAGATTAAATGTCCCCACAGGACTGTAAACCCTGAAATCAGCTACAGTGTGAGGACCAGTCAGCGGGTCCCCATGAGGAATGTTAAAACAATTCTGTCATATTTCTTTGTTTTGCAGAACACAAAGATATTTTGAAGATGGTTGGTAATCAAATAGTTTTGGTTACCACTGACATCAATTGTACAAATTAAAAAACAAACAAAAAATCTTAGGTGGGGAAACGGCCAGGGTGTGAACTACGGGGGAGCTCGGCTCCCCTTAATCAGACATGGGCTCCCCTGAAAATGGGATTTGTGAAAATTTTTTTTGGGGGGGGGGGTCTCAAAAAATATTGACAATGTGTTATTTTGACGTGCAATTTCAGTTTTGTGTAATGTGATCATCGTGGATTATTATGTGTAAAATTGCAAAAAATATCATTCATTCATGATATTCACTTCAATAAAGAAAACTATACATGCTATTCTTGTCATGAGCATCAAGGTGTGGGGGCGCCGCGGTGCAAATTCCACTCATGTTTAGTACATGTTAACTCAAAGATTCATAGAAAAAATATAAACGCCTAAACTCAAACTTGTTTTATTTCAGACAGTTGCCATTGTCATTTTTGTTCAGTTTAACTTTAAGTACTAAATCAACTAAAACTAATAAATAAAAATAAGATGATTAATCATCTTCGCTGTGTAAAATCTATATGGATAAATCTCAGAAAACAAATAAAAAGAACAAAATTACTAAAACTTTTAGAATGCTAAATTACTCAAGTTAGATTGAAATGAAAATCTAATTCAACATTTTAACAAAATCTATTATAGTACATCAGTGATACAAAAATATCATTGGTCAGTATTTTTGTCTTGTTTTTAAGTCAAAATACTTCAAATTGTTCAAACAAGATGCATTTACTTGAAGTAAAATATCTTAATGTAAGCAAATTTGTATTTTATTTTTTTTTAAAATCAGATTTAAAATTAAATTTAGTGAGGTTGATGCAAAAGCTTGCTTGCTGTAGTTATTTAATTTGATTTAATATAATTACATTTTTACTGGAGAACAAGACAAAATACTTGGAATGCTTTTTCCTCTATGTAGCAGTATTTAAAATATATGTGCACTGTACAACACAATTCAATATACTGTACTGTACAATGCCGTGTACAACACTGTAAATATACAACAGTGTGTAAAGCTGGTGAGGATCAGTCCTGGAATGTGAATCCAGTTCATCTAAAGATGCAAAATGCGTCGAAAACAAGTGTGTAATTGTAACCATTCTGCCTCGTTTGTAGTGATATGATGATATGAAGTAATGCTCCAAGATAATGAGTTTCAGGCCACAAAACCAGCCAGAACACTATGTTTCCTCTGTGTCCTTGAACTTGTTTGAGAGAAAAGAGCAAAGCGAGGGGCGAGAGGGGTGTTTAGTTTCAGGGGCTGATGTCATGACTCATGATGTCATGCTGTAGTCTGACTGATTGCTCTGCAGCTCTGCTTCTGATTGGTCGACGGCCGCTTCATGTGAGTCAGTGACTGGTTTGATAAATATTTGCTGGCTGGTTTCTGGTGAAAGTGGTTGGCACTGGACTGTGTGTGTTTGTGTAGTAGGGAAGCTGTATGCATATAGAGCACTGTATAAGTATGTCTTATCGTCCAAACTAACCCTCAGTCAGCGGAGTAATGATTAACTGTGGTTATCTTTACAACTGGAGTATATGCGGCTATAAAAGCCCATTTCACGTGATGATGATGATGCCATGCCTTTGTGACTCATAAGTGATTGATCATCTTCGCCACTGGGCCTTTGTGTCATTTTCTAAAATGGTTTAAACAGGGTCTGTTATTCTTGAAAGCTGTTAGTGGTGCTTAATTAGGTCATCAGTGTTATTGCTTATTATTTCAGTGTTATCTACATACTGTTAAAGTATGTCTTCATATTTTTAATTAGCTTTTATTTTTATAATTTCAGGATTCCTTTTAATTTCAGTTTAACTTTGAGTAATTTTGTAGGTTTTCCATTTTTATTAGTCATTTTAGAACTTATTTACCTAAACATATTTAGATAAAGGCTTGTGTTTTTAAAGAGGTTCATTTCATATTTATATTTTGTTTCAAGTACTGACAATTATTTTTAAGAGTTTTAATGGGGGTTATTATAACTAAAACTAAAACTGTAAAAACGCTTTTGTTACTTGAAATAAAATAAATAATTAATAAAAATGTAAACTTGTTTTCAATAAAAAATTCAACTGAAACGATTACAATAATTGAATTATTAACAATTCTAACAAGAATGTGCTAATACAAATGGTAATAAAATATACTAATAAAAATGACAAAAATACTCCTAAAAAATGACCTAAAATGTTTAAATTAAAATCGAAAAGGAAAATGTCAAAATAAAAACGAATTACTATTAATAAAACCTATATCTCAATACAATAACCCTGGTTTTAGTTCACATTAACAACATTGGTTTATGTGTGACCTTGAAACAGAACTCATATGTCCTATACAACCACAATAATTCATATTTCATTTTCATCATTTGGATTTATGTGCTATATTGTTGTCCTAGAAACCATATGAAATCTGAAAAAAGAATCTTCCCAATCTTCCCTTGTTTTTTTTTCCTTTGGTCTCGTCTCTTCTCTCTCTCTCTCGCTCTCTCTCGCTCTCTCTCTCTCGTGGACTGTAAAAGTGAAAGAGTCAGTTCACTTACAGAATGGGTCTGAGTGCACCGGCTGGATGATCTCTCAGACTCGGTGCTTCAGATGAATCCTCATGGGTCAAAGAACAGCTTAAGCTGAACATTTACATTTAAGACATTATATTATTGAAGCTGAAGTGTCATTTTATGATGTAAAATTATGTCTCCTATCCTACATCCTGATGTTCAAAGTCATCTAGAAGTAAGACATTCATAGGCTGGATTTTGTGAAAAGGCATTTCCTTAGAAGTTGATGTGAATATCCATTCAAAAGTTGTTTAACTTCAGTAATTTGACATATTTCTGAGTGAAACAGGATATTTAATGTGAACAAATAGCTTGATTTTACCTATCATAAATGTATTGCATTCATTATGCTAAATTGCTGAAGCATTGCTTACAATAACAATATGGCTAATAGTTGATGTCAAAGTAGATGAGGTTAGCTCATAAAAAAGCAATTATTATTATGTATTTTTTTCAACATATGAATGCTGATTTGGTGATCAATTATTATTGGTGCTCAATTATTAATAATGATTCTTATTATTATCAATGTTTTATTTTTGTAGAAACTTGATACTTTTTCATGATCCTTTGAAGAAAGAAAACCGAACAAATTTAGTTTATTTCAAATTTTAAAAAAATATATATTTTGTTATATTATGAATGTTTTGATATTTTTATTGCATCCTTGCTGAATAAAAATATTAACTTCTTTCAAAAAAATAAATTCATTCAAATCTTACTGACCCCAAATATTTGAATGATATTGTAGATTAAGAAAGTAAATATGAATCTGATTCATGCTGGTCATTTAGTTTTTCACTTTGGTGTCACATTGGTCAGGGTAGGAAAAAGTGTTTGTTTTGTGGTATTTTAAAGGCAAATCTCAAGTGCGCTCTGATTGTTTCCAGCAGGAACTTTGACGCAAAAACAATCATCTGATTTCTGAGCAAAACGCCACAAATAAAATCACACATATGGATCTAAATGACTTTTTTTCCCCTTGGTACTGAGTCTATCATTACCGGTGCTTTGATTACATCACTGGCAAGGTGCACAGTGTATCCAGGTTCACTACACTGTAAATAGGTTGCTGTAAATTTTACAGTAACTTACTGGCAGCTGGATGCCAGTCATTTATTGTAAAAATGTTTACAGTATTATTACTGTAATTGCATTTACAGTAAAATAATGTCTTAACTGTATTTTATTTACAGTATGTATTACCGTATTTTCATTTACAGTATCAGTACTGTAGAGTTTGTATTTCTTTGTTATTTATTCCTGTGATCAAAGCTACATTTTCAGCATCATCACTCCAGTCTTCAGTGTCACATAATCCTTCAGAAATCATTCTAATATGCTGATAATTTTTTTAAAATATTGTTATCAATATTTAAAACAGCTGAGTAAATTTTTTTCAGGATTCTTTGATGAATAGAAAGATCCAAAGATCAGCATTTATCTGAAATAAAAAGCTTTTGTAACATTATACACTATACCATTCAGAAGCTTGGAGTCAGTGTAATTTTTTTCTT